GTCAAAGACTAGGCAAGTATCGGATGCCTTTTGCCTGGACAGCCATTCATTTAATGAACATTGTGAGCAGCGCTGGAAGTCTGGAAAGAGATTCCACGGAAGTGGAAGTTGGCACAGGAGGTACCGTATCTGACATCTGCATAAGGGAGTGGAGGGTCTGCTGAAGTCTGTAGGCACTTCCATGCCCTTTATTTGCCATTACTCCTTTCATGCTTTTTTCCCCTAGCTTAGGCCTTCTGATAGTCTTGGGTCACGGTTGAAAAAAAGGCAGAAAAATGCACGATAATAAATGGGTTTATCTTTCAAGGATTTTACAAGCAAACCATCTGTTATATTATTTAAAACCAGACCGCTAAGACTGCGAGTGTGTTACAGGCTGATGAGCATTTTTCCAAAGGAGTGGATTAATCTTTGAGAACCACACAGCTCATCTGAAACTGCTCTTCAGCATCCCCCAAACTGCCAACTTCATCATCTTTCAGAGCAAGAGAAATACATAAATCTCCACACAATAAAGACTTTTATAATAGCAGTAAGGCACTGGGGTGAGGTTGCTGGGAGAGGAGCAGTAGTAGTCAGCTGTGCTTCATAGSTTCTTGATGCCTCAGGAGTGTGATTGTCTTAGCATAACCACCTCTTCTATCACGCTTATTGCRTAATTTCTAAATGTAGCAGTTATCTTCCTGTATTAAAAAAAAAAAAATCCTGCCTGTAGCAAATGTATGCTTTTGGACGATAGTTTTTCTTCCTTTATTTTTCACTCCCTTTTCCCCTCCTTTATTTATTTCTAAGAACGTAAAGGATCTTGGTCGGAGAGGAGGAATTCCAGTATTGTTGGGAGGCGTTCATTAGAAAGAACCACTAGTGGGGATGAAGCTTGTAATTTAACCAGTTTTAGACCGGCTACTCTCACAGTGACAAACTTCTTTAAACAGGTACTGTATGCTTGCAAAATGATTTCAGTTCGTTGATGTTTACCCAAGTGTATTTAATGCCACATCTGGTTAAGGAAGAACTGTTGGTTGAATGTCACTTCTGTATATAACAAAGATTTAATAGCATACTGCAAGATTGTTCCTATTTTGGGGAATACTTTTTGATTATTAGGAATACAAAGATTTGTCTTCATATATAGAATGCTGAATAAGCTGCTTTTAGTGATTTCTCTCACTGAATAAAACTAGCTGAATACTATCCATCTATCCATTTTTTCCCACTTTTTTTTCCATATTTTCCCTTTCATCTTTATTACTGGATATCTGCCGCTTTTGGAAAGTTAGAGAGTGGCAGAGTAATATTTTTCTCAGATATTGCTCAGATTAAAATTAAGGGTGCTCTGAGCTGTTAAAATGGCACAAGTAAAACTGGCAACATAAACTCCTTCCAGTTCTTAACCCGTTTTTTTTTTTTTTTTTAAGCACTACTGCTAAAAAACTCCTTTAGAGCCTTACCAAAGAAAAGACAGGGTAGAAGGAAGGAGGGATCCCCACATCTAAGTGACTTTCCCCCCTTTCCCCCCTCCAACCTGTAACACGCAAAATTGGTCATTTGAGGAAAATCTAACAACTATTCTCAGTTTTGAAAAAGCTAATATTGGTGGAAGGAGAAAAGATTTTCAATCAAAAGGTCCTACTGCTGTCATAATGATTTATAAGGAAAAAAGAAAGGAAAAAGGATGGAGAAGTTAACTGTGCGTTTTAGCAAGTTAATGTTAGCACTTTCTTGTTCTGGAATGGTACGTTTTGACATCAAAGAACAGAGAATATAGTATTAGATGGTTTATTCATAGTCTCAGTATCCTGCAGGGCACTGTACTTAATCATTTTTCCCCAACAATCAACAGGAGGGTGATCGCCTGAGTGATGAAGATTTGTACAAGTTTCTTGCAGATATGAGAAGACCATCCTCAGTGTTACGGAGGTTAAGGCCTATTACAGGTATTGAATGAGATCTTTTTGTTCTCATGTGTTAAGAGTGTGTGTGTGTTTAGTCCTCCTCAGTTCCCACCCAGTTCTTAGGGACAGCTGAGAAAAAAACCCTAAGAAGTCAGTTGAGAGTAGTCTCTGCTAAAATCCAACTGGCACGTCCACATGTGCAACCTCTATCAAACTGGCAACAGCATCCTCAAAGCCCTAAGGCCAGCGAGGTCTAGGAGACCTCCGTTCTGTGAGTAAAACATCACCTCCCAGCTGAGAGGAGAGGTCTCTCCTGGGCTCCCACTTGTTCAGTAGGAACAGACTGCAGCTGTGTTTGAAAAAGAAAAATACAAACTGGCAACACTGGCATTAAAGCATCTCCAGTCCCTGACCTTTGCTGTTCCTGACAATATTTACATAACCTGTTCCTAAAAATCTCCAGTGACAGCAAATCTACAGCTCCTTTAGATCATCTCTCCCAGCTCTCAATTGGCCTTGTGATGAGACTGAGTATTAGGAAAACTTTCCAGAATTATCTTAGTGCAAATTAATCTGATTGTGGTATGTCATGCCCATAGGGAAGTTATCACAAGCTTTCAAATATTTGAATGCTGTTATGAGATCCTTATAACATCTGCTTTTTAGAGTCGTCATTTTTTTTTCAGCCCTTCCTCAAAGACTGTGATTTTAAAATTGCTTGTGTGTTTGTTATTCTCTACTGAAGTTCTCCTAACTTGTCCATGTGTTTCTTTTCGAGCATGTTTCTCTAATCTGGATATGCTTCTCCTCCTAAGACCTCTTCAGTGCCAAACACAGCACAGAAATTTGTTTCCAAGGTCTTAAACATGACACTGAATTAATATATCCTAGAGCAGTTGTAGCTGTCTTTTTGAACATTGGCTTGTCATCAATGTTGTCCATCAGCCTTTTCTCACAGAACTAATCCATAGCAATTACTGTCTTTTGATATTTGTATGTTTGGCTTCTTAATCCAAGTCCTTGGTCTTTCTTGAATTTCATTGTAGTCATTTCAGCTCCTTTCTCCAACTGTCCTGTCCATACTCTAGATTTTTACAGTCCTTCCAACCTCATGATATCCACAGACTCTAAATGTGTTGTTGATATTGTCACCTGACTTACTAGTCGAAATATTTCAGTTATCTTGGTGCAGGTTAGCCCTCAGCAGCTCTTGATGTAGCCTTCCAGTTTGATAGACAAGATTATTGATAAGATTTTGAGTAATGTTTTTGATGCTAGTTAGGCATTCACTTTGTAGCAGTATTATCTAGACTGTATTTCCCTAACTTGCATATGAGAATAGCATCTGGGACTGATTAGATTCATCTTTTCTGTTGTTTCTCATTGATTATGTGAGTTGTCTTAGATACCAATTTCACTCACTGGTATTTGTTCGTAATAAATCTATGTTAAGTGTAATTTATCATTTGTTTTTGAAATGAATATATAAGGTATCAACCTGAATGAATATGCATACTGATTTATATTTATTCTCTGTTTAATGTAATAAAAATATTTATTTCTTACAGCTCAGTTAAAGATAGACATCTCTCCAGCTCCAGAGAATCCTCATTACTGCCTAACTCCAGAGCTGCTGCAAGTCAAACTGTACCCGGACAGCAGAGTGAGACCTACGAGAGAAATTCTGGAGTTTCCTGCCAGGGATGTCTACATTCCAAATACCACATACAGGTTAGAGTTTTGAGATATGTTTCAAATTTTAGTGCCCAAGTTTGGCAGGCAGAGATTCTTACCTTATCATGCAGTTTGTTGCGGAACTTGCTGCATCAGTAGATCCGTTGTCTACTGAATGTGCAGAGACATAAAAATGGTCTAGGCTGAAATAGCAAAATAGTGAAAATGCGGAAGAACATATCTGCATAAAACTTGTCTCTGAACAGGAACATGTAAAGGAGGTTTTTTCATTTCCTGAATTTCAAGGTGAAATTCAGTTGAATTCTTTCCAGTTTTATTAGACTTTTTTTTTTCTTTGTGTGCTGAAGTCATTTTTGCTGTATGAAGTCTTGAGAGGAAAAAAAAAAAAAAAAAAGGATCTGGACTTATGTTGATGTGGAGGGCTGGGGGAACAAAGAGTTCAGTTTTCAGTTCAAAAGTGGATGATTTTGCTGAAGTAGGTGGGGGAGTAAGTTCTGAAGCCAGAGGTCCAGACTTGACCTAGAAAGTCTTGGATGTTGTGAACACTATAGGTGAAATACAGAGGTTCTAGGGAAAGGTTTTCTTGACTAGAAACAAAAATAACAAGTTAAAGSCAGTCTGCTGTTCTGGATTAGCCCTCCAGTGTATCAGTTTTACCCATCCTGGTTGGARCTGTGTGGTTTGCCTGTATTCACTTAAATGGTTGATCATAGCTGGGTTCACAAACATACGGGATTGCACTTAYTAGCTTCACTACTTTGTGACAATTTCACTGACTTAGCTTTATTTCAACAGGAAGTAAAAAGCAATGGAAATGCATAACCCATTCATATTTTGATCTAAATGCAATTTCATTATAATGCATTCTAAAATCATTTGAAGATCTGGAATTTACAAATATTATTTTTAAATTTCTTAGGAAAGAATACCTTTTTTTTTTTTAACTAGGACTGGGGAGGGAGTAGATCTTTTTTTCATTATTTAAAACTTTTTCGCCATATCGTTTGAGATAATACACATCTAAGTGAAACAGTCACCTAGTTTAATAGTTTCACTGACTTAACAAATATGCTACTTTAGGTAAATACAAACCATATTTTTAAGAAAACAATTYTTACAAGACTGTTTATTGAATTTCAATATCCTACTTTTTTTGAGAGTGTTTATTACTCTTTTATTATAGATGTTAGGCAGATAATCAAGGCTTAAAATGGACCAGAGCAGTAAGCAACAATGTGTGATCTTAGCAATAAATCCATGAAAAATAAAAGTAGTTTTACAATTTCTCTGTAATTAGCACATTCTATTTACACTATTTTTACTCTGACACATTACAATTTAAAAACCTTTTCTGTATGGTTACAAATATTGAGATAAAAAATCCACACTGTACAGGGTTAGATAAGACATATAAGTCAATATGACTCAATATAACTGCAGAATTGAGGTCTCTGTCAGGAAAACCTCCACAGTGGGCCATCCACAAATATGTCAGCTCTTAGGATTCTGTAGCTGAATAAAGTGAAACAAATGTGTAAATGTTCTTAGGAGCAGACTAACACTGTCATACAGTCTTTTCATGCAGGATAGATTAGACAGAACCACTCCTTGCTTCGGAGTTGTCTCAAAAGTGCAGGTTATCAACAGTTCTCTGTTTGAAATGTATTTTGTTATGTCCTTACTTGGTCCTTTCATTTAATTCCTTAGTGAGGTATACTAAKTGGTAGCAAAGGGATGGCTCAGTGTCCCAAGAAAATGAATATAAAAGCTCTCCTTTATTTCAGTATGCTTTGAAGATTAGTTCTTAAGGTTATTCTTCAAAGCATGATATCTAAAAAGATCAGCTGTGTGCTCTGGCTTTGGTGTTATGTGGGTGAGCACATGTGGAGCTGCACAACTACAGTGCTTCAGCGAACACTGACCTGACCTACACAGCTGGAAGTTTGTTTGGATATACATGGAACCATGAAATGGAGAATTACCCCTTATTCATCTGCTCAGAAGCATCCTATAACAGTACCGTGAACCAAACATAAACTAAGTTACTTTACAAAGCAAAATTCTTTCTTCCTACCGATGTTTTCTGTAGGGTTTTGACAGTCCATTTTGTTTACTGAAACATTTTGTTGGTTCCCTCCTACACAACCTTGAAAATCCTTTTCATCAAGCAATATTACCTAATATAAGAAAAGGTATATGATCTCTAGGCATTGGAGTTTGATCGCAGGCAAGTTGAACTTACAGCACATTGATATTTGGGTAGGGATAGTGAAAATACTCAYCAAAGCTACTGCAAGGACATCGCAAATGCCTCTGAGTTTGTCATTGGAGAATACACCATACATACAGTGTATGGATTTAGACCCGCAGCTGTTATTACATCATAAGGTTCGTGTTATACTTAATGTTCAGTCTGAATTAAAATGCACGAAGTTGAGCATTCAATCAAAACCTTTTAAATCTGTTGGGTGGATCATTATTTTGGTTGACTTGAGTAGATAGTATCGTCCTTTCTTAGGCTTCCAGTATAAGCCTTTTTTCCTGTCCAGCCTTCCTCTTGATCTTGGTGTGACGTATTTCCCATTGAGATTGGTTTCCTCGCACTCACTAYGCCACCAGCCACCTAAAGAAGAACGTTGTAATGCCACTTGATGTGAGTTGTACCCTGAAACACTCAGTTTCTAACCACAAAGTGCTCACTTTCTAACCACAAAGCTTTCGTTTGCAAAATGAACTTTCTGTAGAGCAGCTTGGCCCAAAATATTTCCCTTGTTTATGRCAATTACTCAGTATGTCCAACTGAAATATTGCTTATGCACAAACCCCCTTGCACTTGGGCATAAACCCACTTGCAACTTGAGTGCCATTGCAAAGATAGTGAAGCAGACAATAACTGCTGGCACGAAAGCACCAGTGCACTCAGCCCTGCCTGCACAAAGGCAGCCACTGTAGTGATACAGTCTGGAAGTTAACTCAAACCTTTCGTGCTTCCTGTGGCCCTCCATAACTGCCTTTCTGATCTGTGGTATTTTTCCCAAGAACAAAGAGGTCTCTTGAATCCCTGCATCTGCAGGATGAGGAAGAGCACTGACAGCCTTTAGTAAACAAATTATCTTTTTTTATTGGCTTGTTTCCCTAATCATTTGTAACTCCATTTTTTTTTTTTTCGGCAAAGGCCTGGCAAAGTCTCTATGTTAAAACAGAGGTTTAGCACTTTGAAATTAATTGACCACCTGCTTTATGGTCACTAGAGCTGAGTAACTCTCAGCATTGATTCAGATGATAGTAATGTTAAAGCCTCGAATGGCATCCACAAATGCTTGTTGTATGAAACAAGTGCTGGGGGGGGGGGGGCATTTCTATATCCTGTGGTTCAATTATTAATTGTTTTTTGAGTTGTTTGCTTTTTGCTATAGGCTGGAAAAAACATAAAAGTTTCATAAATTCAAAGTGTTTTGGAATCTCTTTAACCAAATTATCTTTAAGGAGAAATACGACTTCAGCCTCACAGCTGTCCTGTTGTTTTGAGAGTGATTATAGCATATATGCCTGACAAACAGCTAATATCTGCTKCACCAACCTCGCCATTATCCTTAATTTCTGCTTTATAGTCAAAACAGAGTTAAGAGGCACTTCATTCCTGTTCTCTCTCTTTTTTCCCCTAGAAAGGATTACACCGTTCCCATACCAGCACAGGCCTTAGAGGAAGAACCTTATAGCTCAGGATTTCATCTTGGAATTGTATTACCTTCTCTTTCTAATGTTTAATCTTTTGCACAGTCTTGTTGTGCTTTAGTTTTGCCCATCTTTAAAGCAGAATGATGATGCTTCATCGATTTTAGGACTCTTATCTGCCCAAGGGAAAACAAAGCAAAAACAGAGCATCTTCCTTTTTGAGGAGAAAGATACTGCTCTTCCCTGTCTCTTACATTTCTAAAGTCAGGCTAATATAAGCACTTCTTCCATAAAGCATAATACTACACTATATGTAATAGGGAAAGTGCCATTTAAACATATGCAGCATAGTGGTACCTAGGTAGTTTTCCGGGCAGTTGAAGTTGGTGGCTACGTCCATGTCCCGGTCTGTGGTTGAGAACTTCAGCTCCGTCCGCTCAGGCAGCGCGTTGGGGATGTTCCCGGAGACCCGGGAGAGCTGCAGGGTGTAGTTTGTGTCGGGGCCTCCCAAGCTGAATGCATATTCAATGTAGCGTTTGTTGTCTTTCCAGTCCTGCAGCTCGATCCGTAAAATGTAGTCGCCTTGTGTGGTGATGGAGTAGGTCTTATTCAGGCCCAGCCAGAATTCTCCTRCAAAGTTGCAGCAAATAAACGCAGTTAATGTGGAGCAGAGTCTGAGCTCGCTCCGTGCTGTTTGCATGTTTAACACATATCTCAGATAACTCAGTCTCCTTTAAATTTTGAAAATCTATTTGAAAATATTCACATGTTTCAAACATAGTTATTATTGGAGAATCTAAGGCAGAGAGTTCATAGGGAAGGGGACTATGTGATCAGCTCTCCATAAAAACCTGTCCAGATCACACTGCTATTGAATTTGCTTTTTACAGGTAACCTGTGTGTGGTACATGTRAAAAAACAGTATTTAAGTGAGATTATTAATTGCTTTAATTAAATYAATAATATGAGTCTTGGGGACTGTTGATCTTTTCACATGTCTCCTGATACCTTTTTTTTTGTTTGTTTACTTATTTTTAATTGCACACAAGTGATTAATAAAAGCTAAAAATATCAATGGAATTTCTCTTAACTTCCCCACATTTTGTGACAGAGGGAGCTCAAGGCATTTTAAGCATTCATAATTGGATCTGTGAGACAAGTGAAGCAAATGACATATATAACGCCTAATTGCAGTTGTTGTATTTTTTTAAGGAAAGAACTGYAGAACTAAACTGAGGCTTTGATACCCTTGTGTGCAAACTGAATTTAACTTTAGCATTTTGCTTTTGCTAGAATTCCCAATAATTAGTTCCCTTGTTTCCTAGAGCTAGGTGGCTTATTTTCGTCACTGATGCCAGTACATGGAAGGTAATTGTAACCTGTGGAAATAGCACAGTTGAAGGTGAATGCTGTACATCCAGGTGGCATTTACAGCTCTAGAAGACAAGGTGTTTGAGTGAAACACCCCGGCAGCCTACAGGTCAGCAACAGTGACTTGCTGTATTTCATCCAGGAATTCAAAATCACCATCTGTGATCCCTTAGACTATGGAGCACAGAACTGTGCATTATCCAGCTTTGCATAGTATGCTCCTCTTTCTGCTGCTCAAAAAGTGTGGGGTAAAAGCCTCGCTCCATCATGAGCTACTGGGCCGTGATGGGAGGAAGATTGAGATGCGGCAGCTCTTTATTGTAAATGAGGTGAAAAGTAAATTGTGTTGCCCAAATTAATGAGGTTTTAGTCTATGCTCAAAGAGACAAAATATTTTCTAAACCAAAGTAAAACCATGCTATTGCAAAGAGGGAAAATGGGTGAAGTGCTCTGCCCGGGGAGGCTGTTGGTGACCTGGTGCTAAAAATTCTTTTGGAGTTGRTGATTAACAGGCGAACGTGGGTGTTTCGTGGCCCTGGCTGCCAGGTGAGGCTGCCTCACTGGGAAGCAGGAGGTGTTTGCGTGAGGAAGCGCAGCGCGCACAGCCCCGGGCTGCCCTGGGGTTCGTCAGGAAGCTGCAGAGAAAGTAGCCTATTGAGGAGGTTTTGTGTTGGTGAGAATACCTTAAAGAACTCTTTTCTAAGTGTTAAAATCTCAATAATTCAAATGATTTTTAAAATATTTCAGTTGTGATTTACCAGAGGTTTCTAAAAGCAAATGTAAAGACATGTATTTGAAGATTTTCTTGAGCTRTATTTTCTGATAAGCACTTTCAGCAGCATTTGCTCTTCTGGTGCTGGCTAATAAAAGGTAAAGAAACAAAACAGGAGTTTTACCCTTAAGGTCTCCAAAACCATGTTCATAGGTGTCCCAGGTTTGGTTGAAATCTAGTGATCCATCTATTCTGTTCTGAATTACAGTCCAAGAAGTGCCTGTGAATGTGAAGGGGATAGCAGTCAAAACTTGGCTTAAATGTTAAACCGCTAGACACATAGATGGAACATAACTGACTTCATCAGCCTGCTGACATAGGCTGCGGTGCTTGCGCCTGCCCTGACGTGCATTTGCTGTCCATTGCAATGAAATGGGAAATGGGTTTGCAATGCAGGTGGCTCCAAGTGAAAATGTTAAAAAGAAAAATTAAATGATCCAAAGAGTTTTTTAGTTTGTCAGGCTTTTCATAGTGTTAGTGTTTGATTACTGGTAATGCAACTCCAGGCTTGTTTAAAAATAAATAAATAAATAAAATTTTTTAAAAAAAAAAAAGAGCTTTTTCTGCCCAGCTGCAGTGGGATCTTTCTCCTGACCAGGTCGTGACACCCTTGTTTAACCAGTTTCGACATGTATAACCCCTGGAGCTTTTTGCAGAGGGCTGTCCTATGCCAACTATGTTTGCACATCCAGCAGGATCACGCTGCCCTGCCACGCTTGTTGGGCTCTCTAAGGAGCTGTGGGAAGGGAGTGGCACAGGGAAGGCAGAGAGGAGGTGCGGAGAAGGGCACTGCAGGAGGCTCTACAGGCAGGTACATAACTAGGGAGCACCAGCCTGCCAAAGGAAACACGTGCCAGACGTGCTTCTTACAAAAACAGAGCAGGGGCAGTTGCCGTGTTTTCTAATCTGTGTCAGCTATCCTGTGAAAAATCTATGTCCATACGATAGCTAGTTACCAATTCAACCAAACTTGACATTGCTTGAGATATGCAAGTAGGATTCCTGTCTCCAAGATGCACCTTTTGGGGTTAGCTTGGGATGTCTAGGTTTCAAGCAATAATCCATGTTATCTGAACAAAATTTTACCAAGAGGTTTGCTCTTTACCTTTTGCTTTGATTTTCAAGTTGTTTCTGCAGTGATAGTACCATAGTGGCATTTATAATTGCTGTTTTCACTCTCTGTATCTAAAGATGCCTGCTTTTTAAAATATATTTAATTTGTTTCAAAGGAGAAAAGTCCTTTCCTCAGTATAAACAAGAGACGTGTGCGTTATAAAAGTGGTGTTATATAGATTTGGAGCCAGTTCAAAGCAATAATAAAAGTCAAGAGGATCCATAGTCCCTGGTAAGCTTCTGACTCCCTTGCAATGGGACACAGATTTTCACTAACAGGAAACCACATATGTGAGGTTAGACTGCTGCTGGCACAATACTCTTACCGAATTTCATCTCACAGTAGACATCGAAAGCTTCTGAGCCGTTGGGCTTAATAGTGTAGATACCATTGAACCGGATGCCACTATAATAGAGAGCAGTGCAGTCAGGAGCAGCACCTGGGAAAGTAAACATGAGACAGCTACAAATCCCATTTTGGATATGGTAAATTCTTAATTCAACTTTGTAACTTGAATTCCTCTCTCAAAACAAAAAGAAACCTCCTTTGCTGCTTGGTAGTACTGTGAAGAACTGGGGATGGATGGTGGGGTCACCTGTACATTTTAGTTTAGGCTGTCTGGGATTCGGTGCAGGTAATCTTGGTAAGCTTGAAAGGCCTAAGGCCAGATTCTGGCAAAAGGACTTTTGCATTCCATATAAAGATCCCARTAAACACTGTTGCTATTGCTGCAGTTCAGAAATGTCACTTAACTTAAAAATAAAAACCCAAAAAGATTCCAAATTCTGTTAATTAGCCTGTGTGATGTAATTGTTCTCTGTGCTTGCTGAGACAGATGTCAGCAACATCTAAAGGGTAGTAAAAGGATTGCCGGTCACCTCCTTACAATGACCAGGTTGAAGATTGAGGACAAGATTATTTCATTGTTAAACATTGTTCCTGTATGGCAGGAGACAAGTATAAGCTGACTAACTTGTCTTATAAGCTGGGCTTAACAGAGGATGATGGTTTCCAAAAGCAGGAAATCTATGTCCTTTCTATGGCATTGTTCATAAAATAAGAATCTTTCTTTTAGTCTTTAACTAATTAAAAATACCACTAAACTTTCACGTAGAAACCTACAAAAACAAGGTACCATGTACCAAGGTACAGTTAAGACATGTGGTCTCACCATCCAATTTGTATGTTAGAGCAGTTGAATTGTGTACAAGGGAGGGAATGACCTCTGGTTCCACTTCATCCACAAGAAAGGAGTTATCAGTGATTTCCTGGAGCTCTATGTGGTTTAACTGTAAAGAGTCACAGTTACGAAGAGTTAATTCRCAGGGCTCTTAGTGATGAGATTCATACATCAAGTCAAACAATATGTTGTAAGAGAATAACTCTTCTTATTGATTTCATCTTTTAAGATACCAGTTAACAATATAAAAATAATTAGGACTGGATAGATTTCAGTTACCCTTAGATTGACTATTTCAGTGCTCAGCCAACGTAGGTTTCATGAAGTGTGAAACACTTTAAAGAGCATCTTAACTTCTTGAGGTGACATCACGCTTGGACTTGATGATCTTAAAGGTCTTTTCAATCCATAATTTTATTCTATGATCTAAGAGCACAGAATTGCAGTTCCTTAGGAACTTTGGCTTTTATAGCCTCCTCTCAGGAATAAAATTGGATATAATTCTGTCAGTTATTCCCAGAGTTGTGGTTAAACATATTAATAGAATATGGTTCCCTACCAAAGTGAATATTGAAAAAGAAGAGAGAGAAAATAACAATACTTAGCAGACCAAGAGAAGAACAATAATATAATAAATAATAGAAGGGAGGAAAAAAAAGAAATTAGCTTCCTGTATAGCAGCACAGCTGTCTGTCACATCCCAAAAGGTACCTATTTGCAGTTCAGATTGTCTGTGTTCTCCTCCACACCTCCAAATTATGAAAGAGAGGGATGGTTGGCCTGAATGAATGGCTGAGCCGTTAGCATCTCCTGTGCTATGAGAGACAACAGATCCAAAAAAGAGAAATGCAACCGGTGACTGTACCTTGTCCTCCAGCTCCATGATCTGGTTGTGCTGTCTGTCGAGCTGTACGTGCTGATCCTCTACAATTTTAAGGAGTTGCTTAATGTGGTTGTCCTGCTGCTGTACAAAAGCCTGAGGACAGGGGAGGGAGAGAGCTTGTGTTTAAAAGCAGTGCAAGGTCTTCACAATGATACTGCTTCACTGATTCTTGTTACAGGTTTGGTTTGGAGACATAGGCCRTTTAACATTGCCTTTCATTTTCTTTAGGATTGCCTACTGTTTCCCTAAAGAAGCAATTTCTTTGCCTCTGAAATGAGCAGACAGACTTCTGAGTCCTAGAAACCACAGACAGTATCATAGGCTTTTTCTTATTGTTCTTATTTTATTTTTGTATCCACATTTATATACTTATATATTACATTTCATGAAGCTGACTCTTGATTCTAACCCAATACATGCCACTGAGCCCTTAAAAGGAATGATTCTCATGTTTAGGATATAAGCTTGGAATTTTAAAGTCTGAGTTGAGCTTTCTGCTCTGACTTGAATATCCAGATATCCAGTATTTTCTCAGTCAGTTTGCTTAGTTCTTTTATGCTTCAGCAAAATAGAATTCATACTTCCTTTTTTGCTTGTCTTCATGCTTGTCTTCAAGTTAAGTCTACAGCAATTAAAATATTCTTTGGTCCTGGGGGTCTTGTGGGTACTACAGATACTGTTCTTTAAAGCCTGTTAGTTTGAATGTCCCATTTCATCCCCAGAAGAGAGTTCTTAGTGTATTGTTTTGCAGTGAGCTGATGAAATACTAAGTTATTGACTTGGTAATCATATTATTTTCCTAATGTCAAAACTAGTTATTCTTTCTGCTTACAGAATCTCTTAAATTGATTTGCAAAAATATCCTGAAAAAAAAAGTATAGAGATTTGTTGTTTCACCATTTTTGTACTGATTTCACCAGGCAATTTTGCCATAAAATAAACAGCATGTCAAAATAAGACACACGGTCTCTTAAAAGATAACTGCACTGGTTTATTTCTGAAGATACACAGTAGTGCAGTAGTGAAGGCATAGGAAAAGCATGAGCTACTATTGCCCAAATACTGTGAACAGCATTACAGTTTACTTTGCCTTTCTATGTCAGGCACTTTCACCAGTCTACTTACTTTGAGTGAAGAAATTTCATTTGTCTCTTGCGTTGTAGGCTGAATAGTGGCCAATTTAGTGACTTTATCTTCTAAGCCCCAYACTTTTTCTTGCAATTGGATTTTGTTTTGTATGAGGTATTCAATCTTTGAATTCATCTCCTGAGAGAGATTCTTTATCTCTTCATTGTTGATTTGCAATCTGGCAGTAGTTTGTCTCAGCTGTTCTTCTTCTTCCTTGATTTCACTGGTTTGCAGTGAGAGCTCATAAAAAGACTTATCAAAAATGTTCAGTTTTTGGAAGATATCATTCATTTGCCCCTTTGTCTTATGAACAAAGTCTTTAAGACCGTGTCCAAGCTGGAGCAGTCCGTTGGCCAAGATTCGTACATCATCTAACATGGCAAATCTTGATTTGGTTTCAGGAGGTGCAGCAGAATCAAAGGAGAAGTCCTTCTCGGCTCTAGCTGAAATGGCAAGCAGTGCAATGAATAGAAAGATTAGACAAGTTTTCATGTTTTCCATTCTTACACTCTCTTTGGCTGTTCAGAATGGAGAGGCTTTTCCTACTGACAGATTTTGCATGTGATAGTTCTAGGTTGACGAATTAAATCTATATATATTCCTGTTCATTTCGGAAGAGGCAGACCACTGAGTTGATCATTAAACTGCGTAACTGAACGAATGTAACCTTGCTCAAATCCTGGCCGATATCTAGGAAGATAAACCTTGACAGACAGACATGTTGCTTTTCAAAATTTGTTTAAACTTTTCCATCTGCCAGACATTCTGTTATAAAATTATTGATCACACAAAACATTTGTGACACTTTTTTAACAGGTAAAATTGGAGTCATACTTCTGATAAGGGCCTAAATTSCTTTTTTTTGTGCTGTGTAACTCWTTATTGCTCCATATATATAAAATAGTTTRCCATACTTAAAAGAGCATTAAGCACTGTATTGTAGGTTTATCCTTGATCAAGCAGTAGTAGCACCAAATATCCCCAGATGATTCATTCCATCTTTTTTTTTTTGGTCTTGTATCATTTTCTGGTGTTAGTAGTCGGGCTGCAATGAGTTTTCTTTACAGCTACTTCAAATTAAGTGAGAGGAAGAATTAACATTAAGAGATTGCCTAGATGTGATTTTGCTGTTTTAAGTTTTGTGCAGTCACTTCAACCATATAAAACTTGCTTTTTAAAAGTTGTTTTCCGGAGGTGAGAGAGAGAGAGAATGCCACGCTTGCGTTTCTCACATTGCCGCTCCCTTTACTGAGTAAGTCTATAGGTGTTCTGAAACAAATGGGTTGTTCTACTATGGGTGTCTGCTTGGAACCAGGTGTGCTTTTCAGGGAGTGAGCAAGTATGAATGAAAAATATTTTTTTCCCTAGGGAATTACCCATTGCAATGCAGGAAATCAGTCCATGAATATTATAGTCTACTCTTTGAAGGGTTTTCAAGGTTTTGCAGGATTATGGAGAACTTGTCTGTTTAACTATCCTTTCTTTGGGTGGTGGGTGGTTGTTTTTGCCGCCATTTGGTTAATTGGTGGAGAATATTTGTTGTGTGGTTTGGATCAGACTTACCTGCATATCTGCACAAAGCAGAAAAGCAGCAAGACRGTGTAGATGAGACGTAGTGTCCTAGAGAAAGGAGGTTAATTCATTCATCAGCTGGGGCGAAGTAAAAACGTTGTAATGATGCAGGTGGGAAGCACAGTGTATGTAGTGACACCAAATTACCTAGGATCTTTTTGTTAAAATGAAATACCGTTTAGTCTTTCAGCTTCTGCCTTTTTAAATCCATGTGCAGTGTTTGAAGGTAAGATAAACATGTTTTAGACACTGTGGTATATTATGTGGAGAAAGTCACAGAACTGCCACTTGTGTAAGTGAAAATTAGATGTTTTCTGTATGTTAGAGCAATCTGACACTGCTCTGTTAGGGAGCGAAGTTCAGGTTCTGGCATCTGACACAGGGATTTGAGGGTAGAAATTTTGAAGTAGTAGTTGCAATTTTTTCTGCAAACCATTCCAAAACACTTGTACAGGCTTTGGTTTTACAGGGTGTCAAATTAATAACTTTTTTGTATTTCAGCTATTTTTCCATCTCACACACACACACAAAAGTTTTAAATAATTTTGTATTCTCCCAGCTACTTGTCCCCTCCCTTCTATCCTCAAATCTAAATTCTTGGCTTTGTCAGAAAGCTATAGGAGTTTACTCAAAAGCTATCAATTACTGAGCAACCTCTCTACCAGATTTCTACAGGTTAATTGGTTTAAAAAGTGTGTCACTCTGTGCCCTTGAGCCCACTGCCAAGTGCGGTTCCGGAGCCGCAGGTTGCGCTCACGGGTCCCGGTGACACCTGGCAGCCCAGAACTGTCTGATCTGAGCACCGTGGTATTGCTGTTAATAACCTATGGATAAACTGCAGCTGTTGAAGGCCATGATACTTCCCTTGGAAAGGTTTGCTTTCCTATTGGGAAAGGCAGGCAATCCAAGGGCGCTCATCTCTAAATTGAGAAAGCAATGAGCGGCTGCTGAAGTCGTGCGGCTTTAGAGTTTCTGTATTAGTGCCGGTGCTGGTAACGTGAAGCACTGATAAGCTCACTTGAAAATACCTACCTCCTGTTCTTAGATAGCACAACAGTCGTGGAAACAGAGAGCAAAGCACGACATGGAATGGGAAGAGGGAGAAAACCCTCTCGTATGATTAAACCATAAGATTCAAGAGTTACTGAAACCCTAGGGGAGAAAGCCTGTTTCTGGGATCTATCAACACAGTCAAAAAAAAAAAAAAAAAAAGTTGTGTTTAACAAAGATGTCCCTGAAGTTCTTTAATGTTCCTGAGTGACCCTCACTAATTTGACTTGAAGGGTTATAAGTAAAGCAAAGAAAATGTCTCTGGGTTTTACTGAAAAAGGAAGCTTTAGTAATGGTTAGAAACTCTCCCTAAGAGTACAGGGACAGCTCTTAGGATTTTAATACATTCATGGATGATTTTGGAAAATGGCTGCAATCACATTACATAAATATTTAGAGGACTGCCTGGTGCCGTTATTTCCTTGGCTTAGGAAGACTTCACACTTAAACAGTTCACTTTATGGAAGTAAAAGTACATTTGAGGTCTGTTTGAGATAACAGTGTAAGCTTTGCATACATTTGGCATAGCTTTGTAATAAAAGCTCCAGGCACAAGTCCTTGGATTTAAAACTTCTGGCTGCAATTTTTATTGATCGAAATCTGTGAAYAGTATCATCAAGAAGTAGCTGTTACTTCAAAGCTGAGGACCAGCAGTCCTTTTATTTAACCAAATTAAGCCCAGCTTGTTCGTTGGTGCTAYAGTATTTTCTTGGTAGATACCTTCTTCTCCCTTCATCCCGTTTTTAGAGAATCTGCTATGATGTGAGACTTGCTTCATTGATATATGACCCATCAGAAAGGTGTTCTCCACTCCTGCTTTCTCTCTGCCTGTGTATTGCACAGGGTAAGGGCATTTCTGAAGACTAGATTCAGAGTCTTTCCAGTTTGTATRTAGAAGCCCAACAACTTTGATGCGTATCCCACCCATGCAGTAAGGCAGTTTCTGCTGTCATTTTGTATAAAATTGTCACTGCATCCGCTGCTACAGCGCTCTCCATGTTTATTGTTATAAATGGAGCTAAAGCCCTGGCTGAAATGTAATATCAGCTCCAATGCCTGTGGTAAGTCTCTGTCACTCTCTTTCTAGGGTGGCATCAAATTGTTGAAATGTCTCCTTTGCTCCTAGAAGAAAGGTCAATATGGGAACTGAAAGCTTGGTTTCGGCTAATCTCTGATATTCAGCATAAATCAGCCCYGAGAATAAGACTGTCTTTAATATAGGGATCATGTAGCCAGGCTTCCCAAATACATTAAATCCTTCTCTTAAGCACTAATAGTACTTAATGAAAGTTTTATGAGCAATGTACATTTTAGAGTAAATTTTCATATCCATTATCGTTTTAAAAAGCACATCAAGGAGCAAATGTATTCATGCCAGAACAAAGTAATTTAGTAGAGTCACAAAAAAGGCATGGACCCCTCCTGAAATAAAAAGTGAACGTTGATTAGGCAAAGCGACCAATGGGGATGGAATTCAAAAACTTAATTCAGCATGAAGGACTTCATTTGAGAAGGAAGAAATTTCTCACGTGCCAGCTAAGCATATTCCTCTGCGCAGCTTAATAAAGCTGCCTTGTATCGTGTTCTGGAGCTGTACATTGAGATTGCTTGATAAAGGTGCTGGCTTCTAGGGAAGAGTCTTTTTCTTCTGAGACTCTTAGAGAAGTTCTTAGGACCYGCACTAGCCTATGTCTCTATAGAGAAAGATACCTCCATCTTCGGACCAGGGCAGATGTTTGGGATTTCYGTGGCGTCTAAAATGCACCAGATGGCTACACAGAGCAGCCAAATCACTGGCATTTTGATGATCAAAAAAGTGTCGTCCTGTTTTCAGCCTACTATTGCCAGCACTCAGTAGCAGCTTTATTGCACTTAAAAAGTTGGCCCACTGAGCTCCTCACTGCGGTTTTCTTTTTACGTCTGTTGTCTCTCTGAGATGAGGAGTGGAACTGGAAACTGTTTGCAGATTATGCTCAGAATTAGTGAATAGTTCCCAACCGGGGGACAGATTGAAAGGAAAGCTCTTTGTTTCTTTCCTTACAAGTCAAGACTTCTTACAGATCTAGTTGCCTCAGTGTTTGCAAAGGATAACTCTTTTCAGTCTTTTTCCCTGAGGTAGGCAGGGCAGCAGTCTGAGCCAGGGTCTCTCCTTGCTTGTGTGCAGGGTCCCAGGGTCCTCAGCACCAGGCTGCTGTGTAGCCCTGGAGCCAGTGACTATTAGGAGGAGAATGCATGTCCCTGATGGACAGGGCTGTATGGAAATTAGATGATTTCCAGGCCAGGTTCTTTTAGATACAGGATAATTTGTAAACTTTTGTCTATTATTTTGTAGCAAAAACGTGCATATCTTTTGAATAATTTAGTCTATTGTGTGGGATGGTTCAAGGGCCATTCTTCCATGGCCTCAGCATGCAAGGGGTTTTATTGCAGGTAGGAAATCTCAATCCTGTGGCAGGTCTGGGACTCACAGCTGACAGTTTTGCTAATGATGTATGAATCCAGCTTCTTTCTTTGCAGGAGTTCAGTAGGGCTAAGGAGACAGGAAAAAAATAAATAATTCTGCACATGCTCATTTTTGTGTTTAAAATAATCATAGACTTGAAGAAGTAGAACTGGAAGAGGCCCTGAAAATCTGGCTCCCTCCAGTGAAAGATGAGGCTGTCAAAACCATTTTGGACAGAAGTTTGCCTAAGATGTCCTTAAAAGTTTCAGAAAATGGAGATTTCACACCCTCCCCGGGCAATCTGTTCTATTGCTTAACTAGCTTTATAGTCTGAAAGTTTTTCTGCATATCTAACCTATATCTTCTTTGCTGCAATTTCAGCCCATTACTTGCTGTCATATCCCCTGTAGATATGATGAACACTTTATTACTTTGCTCTTTGCAGCAGTTCTTTAGATACTTCTAGAGCGTTGTCATTATCCATG